AGATAAATTTCATACGCTTCCAGCCAGATTCGTCCTTTCATGAAGACCTGGTACAGAGTGTACTCGTTGGTCCACATGGTTGGTACGAAGTGACAGATTGTCGTCAAACCATCTTTCGTTCCATAACTGTGATTATCAGTGCCACACTCAAGATCTTTTCCATCTTTATCTTTCAATGGCCATGAAGGATTACAGACCAGAAGGTCTGGGCATGAGTTTGGATAATCAGGCTGAATGCAAGCCCTTAGTGTGTAGGCCTTGTTACTGTTTGAATTCATTTGGACTTCGATTCGAGTATCAGGACCATCACGATTGAACCACTTAACTTTATTTGGAAAATAATCCTCAAGAATTTTCTCCTCTTGCTGGAGCCTTCTGTTCTGACCTTCAGACCACGGCATCCTCTCGGCTGTAACTATTGTCAGTTCTGATCGACTCCTAACGCAGTGACTTTACAGCAAAGTCTGAAGTCTTCTGAGAACTGAAAGAGGAAATAAACAGTGAGCGATATCCCATCATGCTATGCGCCTTGACCCATGACCCTCTGGTCCATTTGCACAGAAGAAGACACTTGGAAATAATTCTGAAAAACAACAAAAGAATATTAGACTGTCATGCCCTTTTCAAACGCTCAAAGATCAAAGCTTGCTTTAGAAAAAAAGTGTTCTGGAGAATTACTTTCCAGAAGATCGTTTAAGATGGTACAATCCGACTGCGTCTAACGGAGAAGCTGAAGTCGAAGTGGATGTATTCACTAGTAATGACAAGAGATATTCCCTTAAAATTGTGATCCCCATGGATTACCCAAATAGCTGCCCTACATTACTGGTATCRAAGCCATCATGTGAACTAAAAAGAAGAGATGGAACAACAATTCATGGAGGAGGTGACCATTCATGGGGAGCATTCAAAGGATGCACGAAGATTTGCCACCACCGAGATGGTCAGTGGACCAGTGACTTAACACTATACCAAGTATTCATGAAGGGAGTTATTTGGTTGGAGGCTTACGAAGCTCATATCAGAACAGGGAATTCTCTCAGTAAATATCTAAGAGAAATGTGAAGTACAAAGTTCAGTTTTACTGCCGCCAATGTTGTCATTATTTGGACTGTTAGGCTTAGGTTAGTAGGACTACACAAAGAACGCTTTATCTACAAGGATARTATTATTGTACACTGTAAGGATCAGATATTATTGATGTATTGTCTGCTTTCTTGTATATTACTCTTTGTTTCTCTGTTTCAATGTATCCTGTGGTAATGTAATTCATTTTTAGTTTTCGTCTTGAACTGATAAAAACATATGCATAATTTACTGAAATACTAAACAAGGTTGAGTATTTGAATCAACAATCAACAAGGACAGGCAGGGAAATTTCCCCAGACTCGAAATATGCATACAAATTTCCTTATAATTCTAGGAAACCTTGCCACTTAAGAAACAAAAATCGGGGATTCCCCTAAAATATAATAAGTTCTTGGAAATAAGGACACTGGCGCATGCGTATTGATCGGTTTGACAAATTCTAAGAAGCCATAATATGCTTCATGATATTTGAAGACCTGCATCGTTTGGAATCGCCTGAAAATATAACATTAGAAAACCCTCCCTGAAAAAAAGCAAGGTTGTATCAAGCAGTAAGTGAGACGTACTAAAGAAAGGATGAACAGACAGCCTTATAGAACTCCTGGAGTCACTGAAGGTAGAGGAGGACGACCTTTTA